GACCAGCCGGCCCGCCGGACACGGGATCGTTCGCGGCTCTTACATCAACTGAAGAACGGCCTGTGGGTGATGCTGACCACCGCTTCCACCCTGTTCCAGCGTGGGCTGTTTTGGGCACGCCTGCTGGTGTTGCCTTTTTGTTACGCCTCACATTGCGCGCCCGGTTTACCGCTTCCGACCGCCCGTTTGGGGGGCCGCCATCGCGGCGGACGCAGGCCCCCCCGCAAGTCCAACCGCAGAATCTTCAGCCTGCTGGGGGTGGTTCCTGGTGTGTTTTGTGCCTTACCACGCGTGCCGCGTGCCGTACACGCTGAGCCAGATGCCGGAGTCCGGCTTCAGCGGCCGCAGCCGCTACCTGCTGTTCCAGCTGAAGGAGGCCACGCTGTTCCTTTCCGCCCTCAACGTCTGCCTGGACCCCGTCGTTTACCTCCTGATGTCCCGCACCTTCAGGGAGGCGCTGCTCGGGAAGGGGAGGGCCGCGGGACAGAGTCGCATTTGAGGGGGGGGGGGGGGGGGTCAAGAGGTCAAGCGTTTGCGCCATAGAGGGGAGAGAAATGAGGAGTGAAGGGGTCAAGAGACAAGAAGAGGAGACAGGAGAGGAGACGAGGAAATGAGGAGAGAAGGGGACGGGCCCCAACAGACTGTCGCGTGTGAAATGAGGTGAAACGTCTGCGACTGTAAAAGACGAGTTGTCAGTGAACGCATCGCCTCTGTTTCTGTAGATGACACTATAGAGATTGTATCTTGACTCGAGCCCAAAGTTGATATAAAATGTATTATTTAAATATAAGCTTTTTTTTTAAAATAAGGCATTTACATTATTTTAATTAATTAAATTAGTCATTAAATTATTTAAATGTATCATTAAAATATAGCTACTTATTTAAATGGTCTTTTATTTATAGTTAATTATTCTTCTGTGATCATCTCGGTGTTTTTATACGACACTTAAAATAACTCGATCAATGAAGAATGTAGAGTTGTAAATAAATGTTTGAGATGCATTCATTGTTGAAGCAGAGAGAACAGGAAGTGACAGAGCGTGTTGATGAGCGGGCATCAAACCTGTGACTCCATGATACTAATATATAATAATACAATATACATATACTATTGTACAATAAAACATAATGCTATACTAACTTATTGAAACTCTTCATTATGACCTTACTGTGTTTTGTTTCTAGTGGGACAAAAAGTTGTCCGTCCTCTGTCGTCACGGGGTCATTTATTTTACTTTATTTTGGGGTCAAGTGTCGCACAGGAAATCACTGCGTGCCGGAGACAGACGCAGTCTGAGGCCGTCAGAGGGCGGCGCGCACGTGTTATCTCACAGTACATACATGTTTGAATGCACATTTACAAAATGTAAAGGCAGACAGGATGTCATACTAAAGATTTTCAAAATAAATATTTGTTCAGTGTTCATGTCTTAATAATTCATAATTCATGTCAATATATATCAGCTGCTGCTCACTTCCTTCTCACCGATCAACTTCCTCCTTAAGTTTGTTCCTGAAACTGTGGCGTTCAGAGACCTACATGAAGGATTTTCATCGTCAAAAAAATAAATATTTAAATGAATAAATAACGTCTATTCCTAACCACGATTCCTCGACCTCTGTGGAAGACGTCACGGGGTCGAGGTTAGGAGGTTAGGAGGCTTCATGAGGACTTAGGAGAGGAGCTGCGTCGTTGTGATGGACGGAGACGCCTGTCAGGGACGTCAGTCTGCAGCGGCTACAAAGACGCGTCTCCTGCTTCATGTGTTGTTATTGTGAGTCGTGCAGACGCACAAACAACCCGGTTCAGAGGAACAAACGAGTGATGCTAACGGTTAGTCACATGATCTGTTTCCACGGCATCATCCTTGTTTCTCCTGAACGGACCAATGACGCGTCTCTATTTAAATATTCTCAAGGTCAAACAGTTGTCAGGAATAAACAATAGGTCATTTTTGGACAATTCAAATCCACCCAGGAAACATGCTGC